GATCCTTGGACATGTGTTCAGAACCCTTGAGCCCAGAGCCTTCAGCTCAGAGGGTGCCTGTGTTTTCACATGGAGTCTGTGAACCAGTAGCAGTGATACCCCTGATGATTCCAGACTTGTTTTGGTCTAGGTGTGCCAGAACATTGTTTTTTGTCCAAGTTAACACTTTAGTGAAGCTAAAGTAGTTTGACACTTTTTCTGACAAATGACAGATGAAGCCATGTGGAACATATTGAGGAAGGGGGTGTGGGGAGTGTCCTTGTTAGCACAAAATCATGGGTTCATTGCTGCTTACCTCTTCTCTGAGTGTGGGTATTCAGATTCGATGAATACTACCCAGTCAAGCTTCATGACTTTCTCTTTGCAGCATTGTGTCACAGAGAACTGGCTTCCAGGTTACTATTGCTTGACTCCAGGTTCTGGCACCGTCAGGAAGATCTCCATGACTCCCAAAGTCCCTCAGACTCAGTTACTTTATGCCTCGCTAATGAATTTATCCAAGTGAAACAGTGAAAATCCCTAAGTGAAAGCTGTTTGACTTGCACTGCTAGATTGACAAACTAAGCTAAAGACAAAGTACAATCGGATTAAACCACTTTTAATGTGTCTATTCAGGACTGCCAAGCAGTTGGAGCACACAAATCCGATACTGATTTCAACAGTGAACATTTGATAAAAAGCTTTTCATTCTGATTAACTTTTTTTGTGACTGTGAAAATTGTTTTAGAGGTCAAAGAAATTAAGTTCACTAGGTTTGTTATTCACAAAGGTTAATCTATACCTATTCTTTTACAGAGAGTCCTTATCAACCTGATCTCATATGCTGTCTCTAAGGGATATTATATAGTCTGCTACTCAGCTACTATTTCCCTGCTCACGAGGTGTAATGCCACAGGGTGATGATCAGGCCTCAGTCAAGTTATGGCTGTGTATGAATGAAGAAGGTGGTAGCTCAGTCTGGGGTTGCACCTGCATTTCACCCACTCCCTTAGGATGAAACACTGAATGTGATGGCTCAGCTACTCTACACTCCCTCCATAAACCAGGGAATCTAGGATTTACCACAAGCTAATTTAGACACCTAAAAGAAGCCATTCTATTATACTCCACTTTTGTCCATGACCATATGCTCTGGCCACAGTGGTAACTTTGAACTGTAGTGATGACACCTGTAGTCAGTTCCATGGAAACCATCTTTGGTGTTAAAATGCATCTACTTCAGTTCACTGCTAGCCTGAACTGCACGGAACTCTTCAGCTGAGCCACGCCCCCCTTTCTTTTTCTTTTCTCCTAGTCTGAGGTCACTTTGAAGTGATCTTTCATCTCAGCTGATCTCTTGCTGTCTGACTTTTGAAATTAATATCCTCAGCAAATCATTCAGCTCCTGCAGAGCACATACAACACAATCAGTATAATTACTTCATGTCATACCTCAGTTGTCACTTCACTTTAATGGACTGCAAGTAAGATGAACTTGAAAAATGCTCTAAGTTAATGTTCTCATAGATTCTGTTTTAGACTCTTCTGAAAGATGTTAAATGTATTCAGAAAAAGAGATTTCATCCTAGAAATTATTATCTGTATTATAGCAAAGCAAATAGGGCCAAAGAGTTCAGAGCTCTATGATCCAGGCACTGTTGAAAAAACATTCAACGCAGACAAGGAAAGTGTAGGACATCATGGGACTGATCTAGTAAATGTAGGTGTTTATTATGTAGAAATTTATATACAAGGTAGAACTCTGACTATGAAGGAACTTCCTGTACTTAAGGATCATGGAGCTTGGCAAAAAAGTCTTCCTGCCTTTAACTGGAGACTGTGGATGGTGAGATGAGTCTTGGGCTATTTCCTGTTGTATCACTTAGCTTTAGACCAAGGTGAGATGCCCATCTGCCTCCCACTCTTGCCCATTCTGTGCTTCAACATGTTTGGCTTTTTAAAACACATTTTACACCAGCATTTGATGGAGAACTGTGAATTCAATGTCAGAGTACTGCAATCTTCCATTTTAGGTCACTCCCTCTACCGCTTGATAATCACACCCCCTCATTCTTCCTTCATAACCTTTCTCCATGATATATCACAAATAAGCCTATCCAGAGTATCTTAAACCTTGTCTCTTACTCATCTACTCCAATGCCTCAGAGAACATAATAGTCTTTTTTTTTTATCTAGCCTTGAAACCTCGCCTGTAAATGTAAAAACGTTTGGTTTTGGTTTTGGTTTTGGTTTTCTTTCTTTTTTTTTTTTTTTTTTTTTTTTTAAGATAACAAGCTAATTTAAAATCCAGCTAGAGAAGAGTCCTTTTGCTTCTCTTTTATGTCATAATCCAACTTCAGGACATTTACTGAGGCAGCATGCCACCACCCACCTCACCACCTCAACTCCTTCCTCTACTACAGGTGACTGAGAGCATCATTCCCACCTTCCAGGCAGGAACCTGAGGGTGAGGTTGGTAGCAGCCTAGAGGCAGGAGCTGTGGCCATGCTCTGCGCACACACAGTAGGAGGCTGCAGCCCACTCCTGGTGTCCTGCTTCGGCTCACAAAAGTTTCTGCATATTAGAGAAACAATGTATTAAAGGAGCAGTTCAAACTGAGGGACCTTTACTGAGTGATTTTACTTTAAAACTCTACACATAATATAAGAGCAATTTTTGTCCTTACAAAGATTAAAAACTAAACAAAAAGAACCAATGTCCCTGCAGGGTTGGATTTACACAAGCACCACTCCGCTTAAAATTCAGTCAGAATATTTTTGCTTTAACAGTCTCTCAAATTACCTAACAAAAGTAATTTCAAATATGAAAGTTATTCTATTTCTAATGCTTATATAATTTTCCCAGCACACCCAGCATTCCTTCCTCTGATGACAGCAGCAGTATGTGAGCTCCTGGATAAATTCAGCTTTTAGAAAACAGACAGCAGCTTAAATTCAGTCCTCACTGGGGTCTCTTTCTTTTCATTTACATGATAAAATATCTGCAGTGCTATACTTAAGAACTAATGCTTTCATTATGGTATCTCCATTAACCAGATGGTTCCATCTATCAGTCTGCAGTGGCCACGAGACCTTAACATTCCTATTTGGTATTAATTTGCTCTGGTGCAGAGTGAGGATGACACAGACACTTGATATAGGATGGAAGAGGCAAGCTAAACCTCAGCCATGTATCTCAAAACTCAGGCACAGTTAGTTACCAGAACACGGGCATACTGGGATCCTTGAGAAGGAAGCAATCTCTCCTCACCTTTTAAAATGTTGATGTCTTCCTCAGCCCATTTGTGTATTTTTCCAGCTGCTGGTGGGGCTGTGGCTGTGATGCCAGATGCCCTAGCCCACTGCCATGGCTTTTAGCCTGTGGACTCTGGCCATGCTCTTCTTCTGGACTAAGCCAGCACCCTCACGTTGTAAAATCTTTCCATGACATTTTTTACCTAACAGAGGCAAGAGGAAAACCTAACCTGGCCTTGGACCCCGTAATTGCTCCTGAGAACATTCCTTCTAAAGCCCTTCTAGCACCAGTGATCTAGTGTTTACCACAGCAGGAGTGCCACCTCGGTGGCAGATGCCCTGCTCAAGGAGCATGGTTTGAGCTTGGTGCGATCCAGAGGTACAAGGACTGCAGGACAGGCACAACCTCAGTGCACAACCACCTCCCTCCCATTCTCCTCTTGTCCAGCCGACTTTTCCCAAACTGCTCCCCTTCTAAACAGCAGGTAACAGCAAGGCAATGCTTTGTCTAGGGCTGCACTCAGTTATTCTGTACTTGGGCCAAGCAGTTGGAATCACCTGGTAGTGCTGCTCTTTCAACATTTGGCTGTTCATAAATATTTGAGATGGCTAAGCTGAATCTAAGACACTCTCCTCAGCAGAAATCACACTTCTGATTTAGAATCTGCTCTGATTATGGGGATACATTTGTATCTGCATCACTCATATATGCCATTCCAGCTGCCAGCACAGCAAACAAAGGAAACCCTCTGGTTCTGATCATCAGTGAAAGACTCATGTACTATGGGAAAGAGGTAGACCACAAATATCCAGATCTTAATCTTCAGGCAGGAGCCAGTTGATGGTCCATGAGGCCAAATAAAAGCTTTCAGTTCTAAACCTCTGTTCTGTCTGCAATAAAATTTGGCAATTGCAGTTCAGTCCCTAGAGGGCCCTAAAGGATAATAGTCTTCCTCATAAAACAGCTGCATGTACATATTTGACCTGATTTATAGAGGCAGTCAGCTTCTATTTGGAGAAGTCACTATAAGTGACACAGAAGTTCTATGACTGCCTTCTTCCCAAAAGTAAAAAGTAAATGCTTGGAGGGAAAATTCTTTCTCTGAACTCTATCTGTTTAAAATTCATTCACTACAAGTATCTTTGTATATGACCAAAACCTATATTAAGAAAAAAATCCCAAAATAAGTGACTAAAATATGCATAGTAATCTACTAGATACACATCTATCAGACATGTACTCGTGGTCAGTATTTTGTATAAAATACTTTTGCATCTGTTGTTTAAAAATTTTACATTAATCATTGTTTTCGAAACTATTAGTTATCTTTAGAGATAGTTTTCAAATTTAAGAGATATTTTCAGAAGAAGATGGTAACAATTGTGTTTTCATGTTTGGCTCCTTTCCATGTCTGATGTTTCTTCAATAGATAATTTTTGAAAGTATTTCACGTCACTAGAAGTAACAAAAGAAGATAGTTAACTGTGTTGCCATGCAAGGACAGAAAAGACTGAAATCACTTGAAGGTATCATTTAAGCAATAGGTATTTACACATGCACCAGTGCCCCATTCCCCTATACTTGCCTTTAAGCACAACTTGCTTTTTTCCTTGCACAATTTTAAGGAACTGTCCACATTTCTACTGTCAGTTGCTAATACTGTTCTAGAGGATTCAGACTAATGCATTTTATATGCTGCTGCCTCAGGAGACATATTTTTGGTTGTTTAGTCTCAGGAATTCACAAAACAAAAAAACACACCACAATTATGCCTAATAAGTCTTTATTTCCAAACATAAATTGCAAAAATATTCTATTACAGAACAGGTAACAAGTACAGAATTCTAAGTATGCCTTGTAACAATGAAACCATGGCCTCCTTGACAAAAAAATCATCAGGCACTTAAAACAGGAAAACAAAGTACAGATTAAACCAGCTGCAACAGATGACTCACCAATACAACTTCATCTTGGTTTTCTGTAATAAAAGCACACACATAGCTGAGGGGCTCCTGCCTCCTCCTAAACCCTGCGCAGAGACATTTCTATATTACACTGCACACATTCTACTCAGACAATATCAAGTTCACATCTGAAAACATAAATAAGTTCAGCACTGAGAGAATTCGAGGAACCTTTTTGGAACAGCAGTAGCAGAGCCTACACTAGCAGCTTCAGAGAGCTTGGTGCTTGTGGAGGAGCACAATTATACCAGCCCCACGGGGGAGTAAGCTCTGCTTTGACAATTGCATTGGAAAGAATGGAGCTGAAATGAATGCAAACAATACACATTTTAAGAGAGAATGAAACCTCTGGGCAAAAGCTATCATGATAACTTTATGAAATTAGATTTTGACACATGGACCAGTCTCTGAAAAGAAAAGCCATGCATTTGCCATCACTGAGGAACAGTCCTGTGTAGGACCTCTCCATTCACCTGTTTTGTCCCTTGCAGATCTTGAACTAAATCAGAAGCAGAGGTTGCCTCTTAGGCCTGTCTTAGAAAGGTAAATCTAAGATGCAAGTGTCCAAATGTCTAACAAAAATATTCCTCTAGAAATCAGTCAAATACCTTTAAAATTATTTTGGCTTGTATATGACTGTTTTTAGGTGGCATTATGTAACTTCCCACACACTTTACTCTGGTGGCATTAAAAAAGAAGAATATTTTAAATAATTTTAACTAGGTACTCAAAAGAATATAAAGAATATTAACATAAAGAATACATATGAAGCCACTATATAAATAGTACATATAAAAATGCAGAAATGTCAGCTGTTACACTTTAATGTCACAGGATTTCAAGAATGGGTTTGTATTGTAAATACTGACAATAAATAGACCAAGGAAGAAGTGTTTTCAGGGAAACATCTCACAGCCAAGCCAAGAGGTGAGAAGCGTAACATGTTGCTGGCCTACAGACTTGCTGTGAAGAATCTCCTCTTGTCAGGGACTAAAGTGAACAGTGAGGAATTTAAACTCAGCAATATTGACAATAGGCTATCCTGTCACAACCATTTGCATTATTCATTCTGATGGGCCCTTGCCTTGAAACCATGATGGGATCATTAAATACTTCCATCATGTACTTTGAGTCTTCTCCCTCACTGGAGAAAAGAGCAATGAAACAAAGACAAGACACAGAAGTACCAGGTGCAACAACAAACACTGATGTATTGCTGAAGGTACATCAGGATTTAGCAAAGACAGACCTGAATGTTCCTTTGATGGCAACATGAGGATGCTGGCTCCAGTCACAGCCAGACTGTTTTCATCCTTAAACCAGCATCTGCTGACACCTGCACCCAAGGGCAGTTACTGCCCGTGCTCAGAGTGATGTGAGCTCCATCACCACACATCACAGTACTACACTGACTCCTTGCTTGATAGCAAACTCAAGCTGATGTACTCCCATCGTGTTAAGCTCTTGCTGCACTGCTGGAATCTTGACACCGAGAGCACACTGACACTTATTCCTGTAGCTGTGACCCAGTAACCCCGGGTCACTCCCCTGGTGAGCCATGTTCCCAGAATAGGAAGGTATTCTGAAACGTGCCCTTATGAAAGGAGACCACCAAATAACAGCAATAGTCCCTTTGTTCAGTGGAATACTGCAGAGTGTTTCTGCTCTACTTTATCATAATGATAATTTTGAGCCAATTAAATACTTTATGAAAATCTGGAACAAAGGTTAATAAATCGAAATCTGCCAACTTGTTGTATGCCATGGGCATACAACAAGCCTTGAGCATTTCCCCAGAGTACCCTGAGAGATTAGCAGAATTTGAAATTTTTCTGTCCAGAAACTCAGAGAAGGATGGTCCTGCCTAAAATGACAGAATTCAAAATAAAGAGAGCTGGGCCTTCTAAAGTAACTACATGCCCCCTAATCGCTGTTGCTGGCTAGCAGACCTAGAGATTAAAGAGATCTGCTGCTGAAGTACCACAAGATGAAGGATTACTTGGCTTTGAATATTTTCAACTAAGATATGTTTAACTAAAAGGCTCACGTGTAAGAAGTCTACTGCTTCAGAGCATGCAGCAAGTGGCTATCAGCTGTTTGAATCAGAGGTCTTGCAGAATAAAGAACTCCACAGAATAGTCCTTGGGTTTGATCTCACAGACTCCTGTACCCAGGTGGATGTGTGCTTTGTGGACCTGAGTGTCCCTGGAGGTGCTACTGCCTAGATATTCAGGACGTCCCTCCACAAATGTGTCACAGGAGAGCAAGTGACAGGACAAAAAAAGATCTGTAGGTCACATGCATTTAAAGCTAGATTACTGTGATAGGCTGCAGCTCCACCATGGAGTCTGTGCAGGCTCAAGGTGTACATGCTCAATAAACGCAGATGAATTAACTGATCCAAATATTTGCACTGCATAAAATCAACTGATACCTAACAACAGGAATATTTTGCTTGTAATTTAGAGAGCCACAGAAGGTCAGAAGTCACCCAGATAATTTAGTTTTCTCCTCTCCCCATCTTCTACTTCACACAACCAAGTTTTGCCCCTTTACTCAGGCTGAGTAGTTAATTGAATTTAGTCTGAGCAAAGAATGATCTTGCATTATCTCTATGTGCACACAGAGCACTTGCAATTGTTCTGGATACTATGCAAGAACCTGCAAAAGATGTATGAATTTTCCCCAAGACACACCATGGAGCTGCTACAAAGCCAATATCACCTCACTGCTCTACACTAGGCTGGAGTAAGTTATAGTACTTACATGAACATAGGTGTGCCTTTGTCTGTCTGGATGAAATGCAGCAAGGTTGTCCTCAACCTCAGCTGTTTTTATCACCCAAAGGACAACTACATCATTTTGCACAGCTTCTATTAAAAACACTCCATGTGAGTTATTTATAGCAGAAGAGATGCTCTTTTGGGAGCAAATTTGTCTTTGATCTATAACTAGGATGTTGCATTAGGCAATCATCCATAACACTCGTAACATGGGTGCAGGTCCTTTCAGCAGCCAGCTCTCTGCATATGAGCAGCAGATACTGTGGCCAGAAAATGGCAAAAATCTCACAGCTGGGGAAATAAAAATATGGATTGTGGTGCTGGAACTAGAACAGATCAAAATAAATCAAACCCCTGTGCTCCTCTCTTCCAGTTACCAGCTGGTAATGCAGATGGACTCATCAGCTCAATTCTGCTGTTTTGTTTCTGTTAAAGGCTCTACTGACACTCAGAGGTCCACATGTCTATTAGTGGCACCAGTTATTGCCTCAAAGCACTATGTACTTTTTACCCCTTATTTTTCAAAAATAGACTTTATTGCTCATATTTGCAGTCAGAATTTATGGATACTTCTGCTTGGGTAGGAGTAATACTGGATTCTGATATCATTATCCAGGAAATGGATCCAGATACTGAATGTGTCTCAATCAACATACCTGTAACCATAATGATTGATTCTAATACTTCCAGGAGTGCTTATATGATTATAAAACTGCTGCAAGGTAAGCATTCAAATATTACAATACAGTAATGCTCTTATGAAGTATAAATTTAAACAGCTTTTCTGAACCTTATTTTATAAGGTCCAATTCATTTATGTGGGATTTTTTTTTGCAGATATAATCCTCAAAGAGTGGAACACTGAATGCTCTTCAAATCAGTTGATTTGGGATTTAATGCTGGAGCAGCAAAAGGAGTTTTACTAAACAAAATACCTCAAATTATCTAAGTGTAAAAGAAGGACACTCTATCTTTGAACTGACCATTCAAAGGAATCTCAAAAGAGTCAGTGAAACTCTTATCAGAATCTGGTTATTATAAATCTTAAATTTTGTTTGCTTGCTTGGTTGGGGTTTTTTTCTCTAGTAAGCATATAGAAGCATATAAGCAGAAATAGCTAGGATACAACTGCTTGTCAAAGCTCCTGTAAATGTTAAAATGATTCTTCCCACTGGGCTGATATTTCACTTTCTCTTGTTATAGGATGTTGCTCCACATGTATTCTCGGACCATATGGAAAACTTAAAGAACTACACAGGTTATAAATTAGGAGTATGTAGTCAGTTTTCTCATACATCCTGGTGTAGAAGAGCTTGGGGTTGGTGGTAAGAGGAACATTCTTCTAATAATGCTTAGTGCAGTTTCACTACCTGTAGTCACATATGAATACAAGCTATACTACATGAAAAGAAATTGAATTACAGGCTTGGTACCCATCATCTTTCTAATGAAAATTCCATCCCAGGTATGAGCCAAGACACAGAACTGTAATAGTAAGAATGTGTGCAAAGTCATGCCCTACCATGACCCTGGGGATTGTTGTGTGGAACTAGGTTCACAGTCCTCATTTGGAGCTGAACCTGGACCTTAGACGGGAACACAAGCAAGTAGAGTGGTTTATAAATAATTATAAATCTCTGGTCCTTCATACACTTGTTCTCAGAATTAACATCACTCATATGAGTGATCCCATTAAATCCACAGCATATCATCTATTGCTCACAAAATGAAAGCCCATTAAATCCACAGCACTACTTACTGCCCGCAGAATGAAAGCCCATAAACCACTTAACTACCTCTGACCTGAGGGATTTTCTCATCTGTGCACCCTGGGACAAACTAAGAATGACATGGCCCTGAATTAATTACTCCTCTGCAGGTCTTCTCATCACTTCTCTCATGTAGAAAAATGCCAGGGATTTTTATTTACGGGATGAAGTTCTTAACTGAAAACGGTCACTGCCAATTCATGCAGCCACCACACAGCGACTATTGCCTATACTATGTGACATCAACAAAACCAGAGATCTTATGTCAAAATATTTTTATGATCCTCTAGAAGCAAAACATGATGAATGTCACATATTGCCACCATCCTGAGATTGTGCTTTGCTACCATTAAACCAGCAGTAAGGAGTTTCAGAATTTTTCAAATAATTGTTACTTTCCATTTTAAAAAATGATCACTCAAAACTTTTAAATGTAGCAGTCATTGTGTGAAAAAAAAATCACTCCCTTTTCTCCCCAAGTGTAAAATACTTCTCTATTGTAGCATTATTGTAGAACTGTATTATATGCAGTTTAATGCTCATAAAATCACATCAGATCAAATCCAACACAAAACTGCTGAGATAAATTATCTTCTTAGGAGGATCATCACCCTGAAATTAAAACAATAAAATATGTTATTGGTATTTCTTGATTAGTGAAAAAACCTACTTTTTATATTTTAAATAAGCCAATAGTTTAGTCTTTGTATGCATTGCACCTTCTGCATCACTCTTTCATCTGTCTTTCAGGCAGTGAGTCTGTGAGCTTTTTATACAGACTCACAGGCTCTCAGAATTCTTTTTATACAGACTCACAGGTTCTCAGAATTCTCCTGGCTAAGCTGGAATGCTCCTGCCTGGTCTAACTCAAGCTTCTGCTCTTTCTAAAGAAGGACTCCTTCATTTGGATATCCCCAGAACCGTTCATACTTATCCCAGCTACTCCACACTCTTCAGGCTTCCTAAACTAACCAAGGCAGGTCTAGCAAGCATCTTCATGGGGACACATCCATTGCTCATTTGAATATGGATATGCTCTAAATTATATTATCTTACTCATATTTTGAAATTGCCAGAGATTGCAGTTATTCTGTTTCCTCAACAGGATAGTTCTCCTGTGGAAAACCAAAACAAAGCCCTTCTAGATATGTAAATACGTACTCATTTTAATTGAAATCTAACATAAATTCTCAATTGATTTAATCTATGCTTTTCTATTCTCATAGGTTTTAACTAAACCAGAAACAATTTATCTCCAGTTGTTTCATTACTGATATTATTCTTAACATGTAAATTTAATTCACTGAATGCTTGAGCAAAGTGTGTGCTTAAAAGCTGTACTGCAGGTATCTAAGGCAGAAAATCTTTCTTTCTTTTTACTAATTTCACATTGGATAATATTTGCCCAAGTCAAGAATAGTCTGCAATTTGGCTGCTTGACAGGAATCCAGAGGTGTCCTTATTTGAAAATGTGGTATGAGTTTGCTCAAGGTAATTATAACTGAACTGTGGGTTAGTCCTTATTTCTCTGAGTACACTGGGACACCACAAGCACAAAAGAATTTCAACAGTATTTAAGCTCATGTAGGCATTCTACAGTTATAAATAGGTTATGTGCAACAGTATTCACCACTTACTTGGATTGCAGCAAATTTCAAGATTAAAAAAATATCACATGCTGACAGAGTTTGGAAAAAAAAGTATTATTTTTGATGTTAGTTGCTCAAAAAGTAAGCAGGCATCCCCCTGCTTTACAGGATGCTGCTCTGCCAACTCCACCTTGAGTGGAGGGAGTCACTGCTGCTCTCTGTCAGAAATAGACCACATTTAATAATATGGCTGGAGTTAAAAAATTCATACCTACTTTTTACTTTCCAGATAAGATATGCAGCAGAGAGTTCAGCAGTTCTTACCTCCTAACCTTCCGCACACCTCTGCTCAAGCCCTCCTCCCTGAGTCCTTCTGCTCTGACAATTGAGCACTATTTTCTTCTCCAGACTCAGAGTCTCAGTTTCATTCTTCCTTTCTGTGTTTTTTTTTTTTTTTGTGTTGACTGACTCCTCTGAGCAGATGCTTAATGTTACTGTTTTGTATGTCAAAGCAACACATACTCATCTGCCCTGCTGTCTTTTCCCAGCAAACAGAAAACCTGGTGGATTCTCGGTCAGACAAAATTTGCATCTTAACCAGGCTTCTGGGCAATCAAATTTATGCCAGTCTGATTAATTTATCATCTGACAATTTTTCTAATCAGATTTTTTTCTATTTTTAAATATGAATTAGGTCATTTCCCCTCCTTGAACCTAAGTTTGCTTGAAGCTAATGACATGCCCTTATCAGGTTAAACCAATGAACAAATAAGACTTCCTTCAGCTGCATAGCAAAAATGATTTGGTAATCTAATACAAAATAATAAAGATCATGAATTATATTTCAATATTTTGCTTTTGCTGCATTTTCTGTTTGACCCGCTGTGATAGGGGGCACTGACTTTAGTTATGACTTATACATGTCTGTTGAATATAATCATAAAGGTACAGGAGAGGATATTAAGACAGAATTCCCCACATTGTGTAGACAGGGCTCTCACATCTGACAATTCTCTCTATCCAATAAAAAAAAAAATCCATTGGCAAGGATGGTGTTTAGGAGCAATATTGCCAAAAATGATTAATTGGGATGCAGTTATAATCTCCCTAGAGGTGCTCTCAGCAGAGAAGCTTCCTTCATTTCTCATGTACAGCAGCAAACTTTTGTGTCCCAGTAATGTGTGTGGGAGGTTCTGCCTGAGCCTTCTGTGGGCACACACTGGTGTAAGGAACCTACAGCTACCCACTAAGAGGAAAGAACACAGAGCATGGAGAAGAACATAAAATGGAAATTGAAAAGAGAAAGGAGATTGTTGAATTTTTAGAAAAGGTCATCTTCAGTAAAATATACTCATTATAGAATTTCAATTATGTCTAATAATCGCTAATACTAGCAGAATGGTAGCTCATGCTGAAAGCATTTCTTTAGTTTTCTCTTTGTAAATATAAGTGTAAATAGGACAGCACAACTTATTCTTCTAGTGTTTTTTTTTTTCCTTTACAGCTTATTTGGCAAATTTGGCCACAAGTGGTTTTCAGTCTATCAAGCATGGACAGCATTTAATTAACACATACAGATACTTAAATATTTTTGTGGCTCCTGTCTTCTTCTCTCTAGAGTAAATATTTCTAAGGAGCTGGTTTTCATTTTCTTACCTCATGTAGTTACTGCAATTAAAATTACACAGTATGTCTCCAGTGATTTATATTATAGGAATAACAAATACAATGGAAACTGCTGGATATAAACAGCTTAGCCACTAAGAAAAAATACATTATGTATTAGTTACCCTTTCCAATATGCTGCAACCTTTTACAAGCAAAAAATGAAAGTGCATATATATACAATTCAATTCTTCCTAGGTAATCTCCTGCCATGGACTAGGAAAATGGATTCACTATATGGATTCTAGGTCTCTTCTCACAGGTTTTATATTATTCTAATAATCTGAAAGCCATTTAATTTTCTATTTCTTAAAAAAAACCCTTGAAACCTGCATAAAATTGTGCCTTCCTGGTACTAACAATCTGCTATTTTAAAACTTAGCATTCTCTGATGATAAAGTAAGTGTGAACATATCTTTGACAACATGTTTTCTAAATATCAAAAAAGGATATTTTCAAATACATTTCAGAACCTAGCCAGAAGAAAAGTGCCCTTAGCTTTTAAGCTTGAAATTTCTGGCTTGAACAAGATGATGCTATTTATTTAACTTGAGTAATACAGTCATGAGAACACATCAGTCCAATTTAAGTATACAGTATACAATGGCAGTTCTACTGTACACTTCACTTACTATTATATTAACTTGGACCCCCTGGAAAAATAGAGGTCTGTGAAAGGAGACTCTGACAACAGTATTGTGAGCTGAGGAATTTCTGAGTTAGCTTAAAAGATGAAGAAGTATTTATATTAATTGGTCCTACTTTGTCTACAGGGGAAATCAAGATTGAAAACATGCAGACAAATCTTTTCAGAGTCATCTCTAGTGTGTACACAGTAAATTGGCTCAAGACCAGAGGGCCAGACTGTGCTGCATTTCTCTGAGGCAGTACACAGAAGGTAGAGGTCCAAGGGGTTGGGACAGACAGAACAGAGGAAAAGGAATGACACTTCATCCTATAGTTGTAACTGCCAGATTCTGAGCTGCCTCTAGGTAAAATGCTCAGCAAGATCTGCTGCAGTGTATGGCAGCTCCCTCATTGCCATCCGCAAGCTGCTCCACATCCCAGGCCCGTGAGCACACACTGCTCAAATCTTTACCCTTTAACAAGAGGCAACAAGGCCATAGATGCATACTTCCCCTTCATGGAACAATCCTCATCCTTACTCTGCTCTCTGTGTCCACACAGAAAGGCTGGGCCAGGATTAGGTGTCTCCTTCTGAAGATCACAATGTGTGAATGCCTTTAATAAAGCAATTCTTAAAGGAGGCTGGTACCTGGGAACCGATACCAAACCAAACATTAAGTTGGAAGAACATGTATCTGAGACAAGGAGACACTTCTGATTGACTATGATTTATAGGGATAATTTGTATTTAGCTATGCTCCCCTTCTAATATTCACAATTGGAAAACATTTCTCAACTCTTGTGATATGTATTTATTCAGAAAGATTCAATCTTTCACTTATGTGGAAATACAACCTTCATTGAGAGTAAGGTAGAAATGTCTCTCTAAGGAAGAACAAACTCACACTTTGTAAAACAAGTTTTCCCTTGGCACATTAGTGAAATAAAGACATTTCATGTGGTGAGAATGGGACCTACCTTTTCAGTCTGATTCACATTTACCGAACTGCAACTTCAAAATGCCTTTGCTGTGAAGCTGAAGGATCTGGTTGTATTCTTTGGGCATTGCGTGGAAACCTGGTTTAGGCAGCTGGTTGTCATAATAGTGGTGGCTGATGGGCATTTTCTCTGTGGATTTTGAGAAAGGCCAGAAGCCGTAGAGCTTCACATTCTCACACAGCTCAAGAGCAGCACTAGTGATCATAAAACCAGATGACAACCGGTAGGCCTTCACACCCTTAGTTCTCCAGAATTGGGCAAGACTTTTCAGATAAGTGGGGTGAAAAAATATTGCCCTTTGGGTTGCTTTGGACTCTTTCAGAGTGTGGTATACTTTAAAAGAAGTGGCCGTGTTGCTTCTGAAGGAAAATGCTGGCAGTAAAAGAAAAGCATCTCCATAGACCGCAATGTTTTCCAGAAATTCTGTCTTCTTTTCATTTAGCTTGTTGTATCTGAAAAGTACAAAATTTTAGGAGTGGAATGTAGTATTGATACAAACATTACAGACCAGAACAGCACAACTGCACTTGCAAAGATGTTATGAACTCTGCTGTTAATATGAACTCTGCTGTTCTCTGAAGTTCAGCCTGTCTACACTGCAAATTTACATCACCCCATTATATGTTGTCATATGTGCAGCTATAAAAATCTGACTCTTGTATAATAAGTACACACTACATAGGATTGAACTAGCAACACAGGAGATACTGAAGCAGATCAAATTCACTGCTAATGAGACTAGACACGTTTACAGAATTGATCAATGTAAGAAATTAGGAAGAATGGAAAAAAATTTGTGCTCATACTTTCTCTGTTTAAAAATACATGCACTACAATATATACTGTATGTGCTTGTGAAACGTGTTTCTTACATCAACATGTATACGAAAATCTGTCTTGAAAACCTCTGTGTCTGCCCTGTGTGGAAATCCAAGGATGCATTTGAGCAGTTAAAGATTAGTGTGTACTCAAGTGCAGGATATACTTTTTAAATAGCCAAAAATATAGGCATTCCTGTTTATGTTTTTCAACAACAAAGGGAACACATGGAGATCCCTAAAGACATAGAGCTCTAACTTCACAAATTACAAGTATTTATTCTCAGATGCTTTCAGTCCCCAGCAAAGAGCAAAGAGTCTTAGTTCTCACCACTGCATAATTCTGTGCTCCCAAATACTGATTAGTGAAATTCCCAAGTTATCTGAGAAGTGATGCAAGCAGGGTGGTCACTCAACTCATGTCCTCCATAGATCTGAATTTTTTGAATCACCTAAATATGTGGAGCTTCCACCCCTTTTGGGACTCATAGGACTGACTCCTCTTTTGTAGGTAGTTGTCTATTTCAGCAGAGTATTTTCACCTTTTAAAGGCTATCAGAGTCCACTTTTTACTAATTACTCCAGCAGAAGCTGGAAAAATTTGTTTCATTTCCCTTCATAACTTGAGTAGGTTCAAACCTTCTTTTCATGCAGCACTTTGAAACAAAGGACAGCAGCCACTTCCATTTCCATTCAAAATATTCATGGAAGAGTTACTTCTTGCACAGCTAAATTAGTGCAAGGAGTGATACACCCTTTCTCAACCTGAAGGGGTTTAAACTTATAGCTTCTTCATTCCAGAAAAGTGCCATTACCACCAGACTCTGAAACAAAATGAATGAGAGGGACTCAGGCCCTCCTGTTGACCCTGAACCTATGTGCATGAAAGAGTCACACAGCCAAAACAAGCAAGAAATGCCTAAGCCTATGTCTAGGGAAAGTGGCTGAAGGGTGAATTTCTGACCTCTGCTACAAGAATTTTGTTTTCACCTAGTGTAAAGTACTGAGCCTCCAGGACAGAATTCAAATCTCTATTCTCTCTTAGCTAGAAACCTGGAGAACTCAACAGTGTCTCAATCTCTTTTCCAGCTCTGTCACTATAAGAAGTGTAGGCCACTTTAAACAGGACACATAAGAACTGTGCTTTTCTTCAAGAGAGCTCACCTACATTTTACACCCTGACAAACACAGTTCAAAAGCTGATTAATCTTAACAATAATAACATCAGACTTAGCCAGTATGCAAAGAATTAGATATTACAGGGAATAATGTTGGAATAAGTCTTCTGAGAGAATAAACAAACTTGGTTCTGCTAAATGGTACCAAGCTGCTTCCTGCTGCTTCTTCAAAAGCATTTACTGTTTTCTCTGAATATTTAAATAAATACTTTTTTTAAAATCATAAAGTCCTCTTGTACTCTCACTTAATCCTCCCACAGGCTTATCTACCATTTTCTTCAGTGTAACTCCTATTAACCCTAGTGTGACTTGATTTGGCAAAAAAATGAGTGCAACTGTGGCAGAACACTTTGATTAAGCCCAGTAAAATTGTGGATCAGGTCAGAAGTCACCAAGGATGCTGAGTCATTGGACAATTTCCCTTCCTCATATCCCTGCAGCAGCACTAACATCAGTGAGCTAAATCTAGTTTTGGAGAACCAATAATTAATCTTCATTAAAGTCAAATAGGTTTGGGTAAGCATTAACATAGTATTCATTGCAAAAAATGAAGTTCTGTCCCTGAACCAATGAAAAATGCCTGTTTGTCATTTCTATGTACTTTGTACTTTTTCCTTCTTCCTTTCAAGGAGAAAAAAAAAAAAACTTTGCCTTATGTTGTCTTTTTTACAATACAGTTGTGACAGACAATAAGATACAGTAAGATTAGCAAGCAGTAAATACCATGGCACAGCAGTCCTTTTCATAGATAAGCTGCAGTTCCAGCCTGCTGAAGATGTCAGATTAGTCAGGCTGGCCTTATTAGATTTTCTTCTCATCATGAAGGTGAAAAAAACCCCACCTCTACTGAGGAAAAAGTGTGTGAGCCAGCATTCAAATGGATTGAAGAAATGCATTACAGAGGCTGGGCCTCCATTCAGGAAACAGCCTTCATCAGAAGAGCCTCCAAGCACAATTACCTAAGAACACGTGCTCACAGTCCTGCTGATAGAGTCAGACACATATTTCCAGGCTTTACTGATTTATGATTGCAATTCCTTTCTAAATGCTTGGGGTGATGAGGGTCATGGGGGGAAAAGAAGCAGCTTGGGATTAAAATCACCAATTTTACTCTGCCATAAATTTCTGACCATATCAGCCAAGTTATCTTGCTAATCCGGGTGTTGCTGACTCCTTTATGCTATAAAAAAGGCCAGGTTTAGAAGATTTCCATCTAGAATAGTACATATTTTACATGGAAACAAAGGCTTAATGAAGTAATCTACATGCACTGCTCTCTATGCTGGTATCCCAATGGATTTCCATGAAAATCTAAGCCATGTCAAACAATTATACATCATTGCACAGAAACAGATTTGCAGCAGTACTCACTTCTGAGCTATGATACTCGGATTAACAGTGACAAGGTTTGTTTTATTGCCAACATCTTTACTAATGTTTCCTGTGGTTGGAGGGAGGTTACACCTGAAATTGAGAAACATTTGCTTAAACAGATGTGCACCAGAAATGATTTACAGTTTCTATTTACAAATTCCTCTCTTGTGCAATGACACTTTCACGTCAGCTCCCAGGGATGTCGAAGCACTTTACAAATATTAAATAAGGCTTACAGCACTTCTAGTAAAGATATTTAATCTACTGTACAGATGGTTAAAATAGGGCACAGAGAGCTCATTTTCATAAATTGTATCAAAACCAGAAGCACAGTCAAAATCTCGGGAGGAGCCAGTCTATGAATGCCCTATCCTGGCTGCTAGGAAATATTGCTCCTCTTGCCTAAACAATGCATTCCTGCTGAAAGTCTTCTACTGTGTCTTCTAACAACAGCATCACTTGCCTTATCGCAGAAACACTGATTTCTGTAAAATGTAAAGAAAGCATTTTCTTAAATTCAGTCACCTAGTATATTTAGCATTTTAGTACAGAGACTTCCCATTTTTATTAAAACGGGTACCTAACTGGAAAGACTTTTTTTTTTTAGCTTTTCAAAAGCCCAAATTTTAGGTAAAAGTAAGAAAAGGAAACTAAATCCAGCATGCTGTGTGATCAGACATCACTGAGAAAAGAATCTTCCCTCTGTTGCTCTGTTTCTTTGCATGAACTACAAACTGTGAGTCATATACTGAGAGAGTGGGCAAAATTGCACTCCAAGTGCACCTAGTTATCTCCCAGTGTACCCAGGAAGATTAAAAACACTACTTAAATAAATGCTTAAGTTTTTAAATGAGTAACAAATGAAACAAATTTTGGGTCAATTAAGTAGCTACATGGGTGAGCCAAACTACGGCTAAGTAAACGCTTTGTTAAACCAAAGACACACATGTGACATTTAATACCAGTCTCCTAAAGGATGTGAAATGGCCAGAAATGTCAGGTTCTCAGATAATCACATTTCACATCACTGCAAGGTGACTTAGCAATCACAGATCATACATTTATCATGCAGTGTGCTCATTAATTAGAAAGCAGCATTCTGAAAACTACAAAGCAGAAGTATCCTTAAAGAGGCAGAAATAACAAATTGTCAAGATTCTTCCTCATTGCTACAAACTGGCATTGGCATACTTCCAATCCTGCCAAGTTTTTAGAATATTGAACACACTTAAGGAAAATGAAGCAGCTCTTACCTGAACACAAAGTCAGAACTATCAATTTCAGCTCCACAGCTGGAATTTTTTAGAATGCCTCCATTTCCAACCACAGCACAGTTCTTGAAGGGATAGACTGGAAGAGGAGAGGTCTGCAAACAAATAAAATGATGCAGCCAATTCATTACAAGTGTTTTGATTGTTTCTTTGTGTCTAATTGGTCTGGCAGGTTTAATCTGTTAAATCCCAGTAAAAGTATTCACCATTTAGCAGACAGGATTGTCAAACCTGGATAGCTAAGAGCCAAAAATAGGCACCAACAGACAGAGAACTGTTACCTCTGATATCAGAACTTTGACAGAATAAGACTGGATTGTTAAAAGTGGGTACCTTTTAAATACACTTAACATTAAAACTGTTGAGTAGTTGATTGAAACCTTGACAAGCTAAGGAACCTTGAAACCTTGACAAACTAATTTATACTGAAGACAGTTTAAATTTACCCATTTTCCTTTGCACTGGGGGGTAACTTACTTTCTCAGGTAACAGAAGGTAACTTTGTAAATTCTCCTCATTTGTATCATCACACAAGTACATTTGAAACAGAATAATGAATTTAGGGGAACCTGAATATACTGTAAAGGATAATGATGTGCCCTAGGCTTAACTCTTTGTAAATGTGTAAATGCCCACAGAAGAGGTTACTGTTTCTGGCTGTTCACCCTCTCTGCTCCTCTTCTTATTACAGCTTGCTGTCTTGCAGTGGGGAAGCTGAGTGGGAGCTAAGTGCATCCACTTGAGAACTAGCACAGTTCACAACCTAAAAAATTACTGAAAATTGTTGGCTATTTAGGTTGATGTTAATATAGCTGGCTGCTATCCCAGTCTCAGAAATTTTTCATACATCTTGCTCAACCTCTTCTGCTGTGGGAGCACTGACATTTACCAGAGGCCAACAGCTGGGATACTTTGCAGAAATTAAACCCTGTTGTAAAAGAGAGTCAAAACTTGCTTATGGGAAGAATTAGCTTTCTCTCTTCTCTCTTCAGCTTGCCCAAAGAGAAGAAAGGAGGGACACTGTTATGAACAATTCAAAAAGTGTGGGGAGAGTGGCAAACATTGTATTTGCCTGGAAATATATTACAGAAAAACATATTCAAATATTTTGTTCGATTCTGGAAGGATAGTAAGACAACACAAAGGCCAGGCAATTCTGCCTACCTTAGAATGTATATGTGCACATAAAGCACGCTACTTTATCATTTCTCCAGCTTAAATTTGGAATTACTATATCCCCTATTGCAATTAAGTCAGTAAAGACTAATTCACAGCAGTGTTAGGAAGAATTAGACTCATGGTAGCTGGGATCTCACAAACCAAGAATGCCAGAGATGGGTAAGAGGGTTCCCACATGCTCAGCTTCAAGAAACCAAATACAAACTCTTTGTCTAGTCTCAAGATCTTGTATGTCTGCTGTAATCCTGAGGTAAAAAATCTGGTTGCTTTTCTCACCCTCTGTTTCTAGCTGCAAACACCCTCCCCCAGTGGGTAACAAAGCTAGTGAAAGGGCTGGAAGGAATGTCCTATGAAGAGTGAATGAGGGTTTTGGACTTATTTAGTTTGGAGAAAAGAACAAGTAATCTCACTGCTCTCTGAGGAAGGGAAGGGAAGGTGCTGATCTCTTCTCCATTGTATCCAGTGATAGGACACATCAGAATGGTTCCAAGCTGCACCAGGGGAGGTTTAGGCTGGTCATTAAGAAGCATTTTTTTACCAAGAGGATGGTCACTTGCTGGAACAGGCTTCCTAGAGAGGTTGATGTCCCCAAGTGCCAGTGTTTAAGAGGCATTTAGACCATGTCCTTAATAACTTGCTTTAACTTGGTCAGCCCTGAGTTGATCAAGCAGTTAGACTATGTGATCATTGTGGGTCCCTTCAAACTGAAATTCCTCTGTTCTACTCTATTATGTTCTACGCTATTCTGTATCAGGTTCACCACCAAAATATCTTTCATAACTTACATGCCCAAGCCTGCACTGGAAATGGCATGGGCACATGAGGAGTATGAAATGTTCTTCCAGATTGAAATGCCTTTAAAAATGGGAATGATAAAAGCAAGGCAAACATTTTCAGAGTATTTGCTCCTGAATTCAACTGGCTGCCAAGCCAGTGTTCTGTAGCAACTCTACCTCCAATCTATGATTTATGACATCTGTAAATGCCTCTACCATTGCAGAGGAAGGGGAAAAGAAAAAAAAACAAACAAAAACAAACACCTTGCAAGGTGAATAAAGAAGTGCATGAAGTGCATACAAAGGCTGATGGGTCTGTTCCAGAGAAATCACAGTATCTCAACTACTAACCCAAAATATATATACTGTGATTATAATAACAAGAAAAAGATACAGTTCTTACCACAGGCAACATCTTAAAAATGTCCTCTGTAATGAGGATAGTCTTTTTACTGTCCACTTCATAACTCATGTTACTTCCCAGTGGGCTGTTGTTTTGAGAAGCAATAAAATTGTGAACTGCATCACAGCAAGAAGCTAATTCTGACCTGCAAAAGACACAAACAAAACCTGCTCAAAGAGAGGCAAATAAGTAGAAAAGCAATGCTAGAAAACCAGATCAATGAACACCAGGTTGAATTAACTAGCAGCAAAATTTGTATTAAAAATGATGTCATTTCCTTTGACTTGCTTTGCTAAGCAAGTCCATTTTCACAGCAAATGTTCAGGAACTAATCAGAGCAAGAACTGATAACTGTTTTTATCTTTGGTCTCCTTTTCCCACTGAGAAAAAGTTGTAATCAATCTCCTCAATATTATTAATTGCTAAGATTAATATAAAAACAATATAGAGCCTTCAGTCCACAAAGAATTAAAAATGTGACTTTTACCAATATCAAACAAGTGATTGTAAGAAACTAGAAGGCTGAAGAAGGGAAAAAAAAAAGGAAATAAAAGAGATAGAGATGGAAGGTACTGGCAGTGGTACTTAGTGAACATCTAGACGACTGCAAGCCAATTAATTAATAATTAACTTCTGCAACTGTTCATCACAATTTTCCTGTGCACAATACTACAGGTGTTAAATAAATTACATCACAACTTGCATATAAAGACAGATGTGCTAGACAGATAGCCTAGCTGCTCCCCAAAACACCTAGCAGAAGTCCTTAAATAAATAAAAATGGAAGGGATTCACTCAAACCTTTTGTAGGATTGAAGACTATTACTCATCTTACAATCCTGTTACCTACAAACTTATAAAAATATTATGTGTGCAAACATTCTACATTATTAACAGTGAAGTAAAATTAACTTAAAATCCCCATCAGACCTTTGAAATCAGACCCAAAACACTGTCATTCATTTTGTTATAGGCAACAACATCCTCTCTCCTGCCATGGGATCTGATTTTCAGGCTGTAAGGCTGAAATATTCATGGACAAATGTTATGTATCAATTGCTAGGACACAGCTTTCTCATTAGGTGAAATACTAAGAGAACTACTAACAATTTAGAGAAAATACTGTTATAACAGAATTTCCCAGAATTTTAAAAATACCACACTGAAGGTTAATTGAGAAGAAAAATATTTACTATTAGAGCCAAAGGAATAGAAAAATTTTATTTCATACTGTTTCAATGTGTAAAGTAAAACAAATTGTTGAAACTAGTAAAATATTAGAAGAAAAATTCTGCCTGAAATAAAAAAATACTAATTATTATTATTATAAATGTTATAAATAATAATTATTTAATGTTTCTGATGTAACTGAAGCATAGTCCAGCACACAGAAGAACCTAAAGATTATGTTTCCTGGAAGACAGGGAGAAGAATGAACAGGTCTGGGATAACTGTCAGTCTCACTTCTCTTGAAAAAAATGGTCAAAATGGGTCTGGGCGGGGGGGAGGAAAGGAAGGAAGGAAAGGAAGGAAATGAAGGAAAGGAAGGAAAGGAAGGAAATGAAGGAAATGAAGGAAAGGAAGGACCATTTCAGTTGTCAGATGACTTACTGGTATATATTAACCCATTCTGAATACTGAGTTTTAAAATTCCTCCAAGGCAGTTTCCAGATGTATGAGGAACACTGGGAAAAACTGAGTGCTGGGATGGCACAGATCTGAAACAACCACACTAAGAGAGTAACCAGGAAATGTCACTCCTGAGATAGGAACCAGTAGGGTTCAGATTTCCATAAGCTGCATTCGACTCCACTCCCTAAACATGGTGACTCCCACTGCCCTGCTCAAAACCTTAAGGGACAGGGAAGATCTATGGCTAATGAGAACCATGAGGTCCAAGGCTGTGGAGGGAACTGTGACTAAGCTCTGTGGTCAGGAGACACCCACACGGTGAAAACAATTCTCTGCACGTATATAGTATCCTACTTTAAATATATGACAAAGTTAAAGGGGTGCAGTAAGGCAGTAGAGTCAAGTGATAATGTCTGAGAACACTGGATGTTATTGAACCAGTGGTTTTTGACTGGAGCACACTTGCTTTTCTTTCTTGTCACTTTTTGCTATAACCAGCTCATTCTAGTCTTAATAAATGCTGTAGTGATAAGAGGATTGAGATCTCAATGTCAGGCCCTGAGGGCACCACCAAGCCTCACCACTGTCCAGCACCCTGGGGCTGCCCCTATCCTGTCTAGGGTCCAAGACCCAATTTCAATCTTCCAGAGCCATCAGTCGCTGCCTCAGCAACACCACAGCAGGGCCAGTCTCCAGTTGTGTCCATCCTGTTCCCAGGGAGGTGCCCATGCCTGGGCAAGGGCTGCCCCATTCCTGGCTAGGAGTGGGATGAGCCCAGCTACCAGCTTCTGCTCTGCTGGCCAGGTTACTGCACTGGGATCCTGTGGTACTCACATACCCTCTGAACAGAGACAGCTTTCTCAGGACTTTTCCTGAGAGAAGTTCTGAGAGAAGCAGGGAAAAGAATGATCAAAACAATTCCTATCTCACTTGTTGTTGCTTGTTGTTGTGCACACGTGGAATGTGTTATGGAGATTGTTTACCCAAGGTGATTGCTTGATTGGATTCTGGTGATGGTGTTTTGGATTGATTGACCAGTTAGGTCACAGATGTATCAGGACTTGGCAGAGAGTGTCACGGGCTTTTAGTTAGTGATATAGTTCTTATTAGTGTAACATAATGTAATATAGTTTTAGTATAATATAGTATAATAAAGTAATTAATTAGCCTTCTGATATCATGGAGTTTTGCACATCATTCTTCCCATGTTGGGGAATGTAGCACCGACAGGATCCCACACACTGTCCCTCAGGAAGAAACTGTCCTTCACTGCTCCCTGGCACTCACATGGAAATGAGGAATCACATAACCCTTAATGCTGATTTCCTTGTTTATTTTCTTGAAGCTAAATGAAGCGGGCCTAAACATTATCTGTGTCAACCACTGGACATTCAGAGGAGAAGGAATAATGCCAGAATATTCCTGCCAACTTTAGTAAAACAGCTTTTTTGTGTTTAATGGCTACCAGACCCTGAAAAAGCAAACTGATAACAGATCCCATTCATAAATAGAGATGACATGTTTTTGCTTTTTATTACTCATTCCACAAGAACAAGTGCTTCAATAAAAGCAGAAACAGTGCAGAAGAAAAACAGATAACAAAATTAAGAAGAAAATAATAGTTTAAATTAAGATTATGGATTCACTGAGAAAGTAAAACAGAGCCAAGCTAGTCCAGAAACCCAGTAAGGAAAGAGAATACATACTGAGTAATGGCAAATATTCTTGGAGAATCCATGCTAAAAATGTGGTGGTAACAATAGAAACATTTCACTTAGATCAAATCATGACACAGAATCCCACTATGCTCAAGCATCCCTGTACAGAGCTCCAGTGGGAATGCATGTAACCTGCAGACAGCAATACCCATGGCAGTGTATTCAGCAATCTGCTCACATAGGATTTTTACAAGCTCTGACACGTGGTAATCTACAACTGCCAGCAAATGAGGAAGGGGTAGAGACTGGGAAGTCCAAGCAATCTATTACAGCAATTTTATCAGAGTATTAATGTCATCCATATGTGGTCTGTCAGGAGGTGCCGACTCACTGAAGAGCATTTACTTCATAAGATAAACAGAAGTATCCTACAAGGGCTTTATGTGAGGAGTTGCAAAGCCAAGACAACATTTTAACTCATGTATCATGCCCCTTGGAGAGAGGGAAACTTAAGATGGTGGGATAAGAAATAAGGGTCAAATCATAACAGCACCAAACAGAAGCAACTTTTTTGGGGGGACTAGAAAGTGATACACATTGTCTGTTCTGACTGCGAGAAAACCCTGAGATATGGATGCAGCTCTTGGAAGATAGGATGCTTCTATAGGGCTGAGCATCCATCTCATAGCCTTCAGAACATGAATGTAGCTTACAGTAAGAAGGTTTAAGTTCGGCTTTTATCAGAGACTGCAGGCTTGCCCTAGAACAAAGGGTGTTTATGATTCAGTCATGCATGACAATTCCAGACTGAAGGTGATCCTTGAGTCAAAATACCTAAGTTTTGTAGGGCACTAGTTTTGGAAAATAGCTCCTCTGTAGCAGAGGTTATTACTGACAGTTTCTTATTTGCAGAAGCCTTTTCCTCCAACGTTTCTCCTGCAAGGATTTGGAAGCTGAGTGATATCTAAGAGTTATTTTTAAATCCTGAGGTATAACTCCGAACACAGACACTTTTTATGCCAAGATAAGCAGAAAGGGAGTTGATGGCATTATCTAGAACAGTCACTTGTAATAAGTGAGGAACAAAATCAGAACCTGGAAAAAGACTACACCATTTTGACTGGTAATACATATCTCATAGGACTGAAGAAGCACAGTCAGAAGCTTAGCCAATAACCTAAGTGGAGGGGTGTGCTGCCTTTGGGAAGTTTGATCACATTAGACAACAGAGTCATACACAGTTGCACTGAAGAATGTTGTTTGTTGCTTAGCATACACTTTCACTGAATTTTTTCCTTTTTGGCTGAAGGATGCAGGACCCAAGTTTGCATCATTTTTCAGCTGATACAGAATTTTGAACCTAAGGTATGCAAATAATTTCTTTGGGTTCATGGACACTGAGACCTTACGAAAATCCTGGTTTCTTGAAGAAAGTTACCAACATTATATGGCTTGTGCGACAAGCCAAATAATGTTCTTTTCCAACCGCTATGCAGTTTTTCCATGCTGAACTGTTGGCAGTAACAGAGGGCTGTTGCCTTGATTACACGTTTCCAAACTTTTCTGCATAACAAACACTTTATATGGATAGTCCACTGTATTTAGTGGAATACACATGCTCTAAATATGCTGATAGAGTTTCTTTGCAGCTCCTACAGTTCTCTGTAGCCAAGACAGCAGCAAAATCAGCTACCTTGGTTCTGTGCTAGTAGAATATATGCATTTTCACCGATTCGGGCCCTCTGTACAGGCTGCATGTGCCTGCTGACAAGTCACAGTGTGTACACATCCTGAAGATACTGCAAATATCTCAACATCTTCAACAACTCAGTGTGGATCAAACACAAGGGCTAAA